AGCATCGTATGCGCAAACTGCCATCAATCGTGTGAAAATACCGCAAAGACTGATCATGTTATTGAAGAAGAAGAGGTAGATGCTGCAGAAGACAATCTTCCCGTGAATGAAATGATAGAGGAAGATGCAGACATTTTAGAATCGTCTGAATCGAACGATGAATCGGACAAAAGCAACAACAATCCATGTGACTCAACCTTCGAATCTGAGGACTTCGAAATGCTCGCCCAACCAGGACCATCAACTGCTGAATTGCCAACGACCCTTAGAATCTCAAACAGAGCCCGTCTCAATTAAGAGCAATGTGAAGTCAAAACACGCAGAACAAGGATAAGATGAAATATGCGGCCTGAGCTGAGCCGGTCTAATCGAATATTGCCACTTGAACCGACTCAACTCAGGCGGTGGGAGTTTCAGTGGGTACGCCAAAAAATGATAGTAAGTCTCACACGCCCCACTGTTCGGCTCCTGGCTACCAGAGTCTATAAAAGATTTCTCCCACCTAAAGAAAAAAATGAAAAACTAACCCCGAGGAGGCAGCGCGTCTACGTGACACGGCGCGGCGCGGCGGCGCGGCCACCGAGACAGGGCGACGCGGCAGGGTGCATACGTTATGCCGAGTTGGGTACATTTTTATATTTTTTCTTTCAATATTGCTACTCGGGGATGTATCCTAACGTTTACATGGCAAAACCAAAATAAATTTTACTTTCCGCCGATTTTAAAATGCATGTTTTCCAAAGAAAGTGAAAATTAAGGAGATTTGCTGAAATTTCAGCGGATGGCTGAAACTTTAATTTTCGTCACACGCTCATGTGAGAAGACTCTCACTATCGGAAATCTTACGCTCTTTACTTTCGGAAAGAGCTTACTTTGCCTAAAAATGCATATTTCGCGAGATATTTAGACTTTTTGACAAAAAACGAGATTTGGCAACATTTTTTCCAAAATGGCGGAGGTTCGGAGTTTTTTTTTTATAGGCAAAGTTGAAATTCGGATTCCACGCGAAAAATCACGTAAGAAAATTGGCACTCAAATTATGTTGGGAAACTTTCCAGTGAAAATGCTATTATTCCTGGACTATCAGTGGCGGATAAGAGTCGCGCGCGGCTGCAGTATATAACCGATAAGGTGATTTTACAGCCAAAGTAGCAGATGATGGCAGCTAAGTTTCGTATAATATCATTCTGAAGAGTCCTGAAAATTTCCCTAAATGGTGATAGGGTTGATGTTTTTAATGTCCAGTCACTTTAGCTCTAAATAAGGGTCATCTGGGAAAATCTATACATAAAAGATTTTTTGCGGAAACATGTTGCAATAGGCTACCAGAACAACATCTCAAAAGTTTACCGAGATCGGCTATCCGCCAAGGCCGCCTAGAGTGGAGTGTAAAAACATTTTTTCGGAATCCGATGACGGCTGGTGAAAGAAAGGTGGTACCAAATGGTCCAGGAAAAAATCCTGCCTCAATAGGACAACGTTTTCATAGAAAACACGGGGCTCGAATTTTCTAAATATCAATTTTTCGATTTTACTGTGTTTTTTCTAAGATAATTTCTGAGCGATCGGAAAGACAGAACTGAAATGTACCATTATGTTTTTAGTCGAAAGGATCGAAAAAGCGCTATATCGAATTCAAATATCGATTTTTGCGATATTTCGTCCAAAAACGCGATTTTTTTTCATGTGTACCCCAAGAAATTTCGATTTATCGATACAGGCCTTTGATAAATCGAAATTTTGACACTAAAAATAGATTCCTCGTGAAAAAATACACAGGGTAACGAATGTACACCTACATGAAGTACGTATAGAAATGTCGACAACTAAGGTCCGATTCATACGAGTTCTCTAACTAAATTCGCTAATGGGGCATTCCACGCAAAATCGTCCAGGGACTATGTTGCTTGACCGACCCCAATTTTTTATAATTTGGTTTCTTTGTTAATTTATCCGATAGAAGCAAAAAAACCATTCTCTTACATTTTTTTGACCACCCTGGCATCTGTGGCGGTCTTGTAGAGTTGAGGTTATGAACTGAATTTCAAAAAATCGCCCTTCACGAAATCTGGCGTATCTCCAGTTCTGTTTGACTTACAGAATTGGAACAAAACTGACGTAATACTTCTTTTCATGATCTATATTTTTGTTAGGCGCCAACATTTTTGCATCTTCAAGGGAAACGTTGTTTTTTTAGGACTGAGCCCAGATGCATGTGGACTGCGAAACGGCGAAAACCGCTATTTTGAGGAATTTTTTTTTAAAGAGGAGAAGAGTCTGAGATCTGAATTTTTTTGTTAGTTGACAGGCATTCACAGAACCCTAAAAAAAATGTCGGACAAATACGATTTGTTGTTTTGTTGTAATGACACTTGATCTCCCGCTCAGGTGTAAAAAAGCGCTGAAAAAGGGCAATACTGAGAACGCAATTTTTCCGATCGGACACGCTCTAAAAATGTAAAAATTGGAGGAATACATACATAGTGCTACAAGCTGTACAAATTTGAATCACCATCACCAAAAATTCGACGCAGGAAAAAATTTACAAATTCCTTAAAATTACGCTTGTTTGCGGACATATCCCGTCTTTGGGCGATTTTACGAGACACGTACCCACGATAAGGTGCCACTCGACATCAAAAAATTGGGCAGCAAACACAATGTTTTGCATTTTTCATGTGATTAGGACAGTTTTTCCCCTAAAATTCCGCAAACACACTTTTCCCCCACCATGTTAGCCTTAAAAGCGCGGTTTAACGAACTGAGGCTGCGGCCGCGGTCGCATTTTGCTTTGACTAGGCGCGGTAAGGTATACAAACGCGAGCAGTGACAAATCTGAAAAAGTCCAAACTCTCAGTTTCATTTTAAGTAAACAGCACAATTTAACACAGTTCTGCAAAGTTACAACGGTAGGTGACCGGGGAGAGGGCAAGAGGGACGACGTCGACGTTCTGATCCATCGCGCGGCATGTCATCATTGAAAACGATCTCCTAAATTAGATCTCAAACGATCTCAAATCTGAGAGGTAGTAAGGAGGTCTTATAAAATTATCGCAACAAAAGTAAATTCAACACCTCAAAATATTCCAAATGTTGCATGAATGAAGAAAGATGCATACCTATATTTTGGATTGTGCAAGCATCCGCGAGGCGAAGTCCGCTAAAACTACGACTTGGAGGCGCTGTAATTAGAAATGTAGCTAAAGTTAGGGTAAAAAGAGAGAATTCTTACACAGTTCTAAGTTAATTTCTGCTAAATACGTACAAGCAGGTGAACACTTTTGAGTATTTTTCAGATGTGTTTATTGTGAAATTTTTCCCTCTATATGAACTATGATTCCTCCAATTTTCAGATCTTTAGAGCGTGTCCGATCGGAAAAATTGCGTTCTCAGTATTGCCAATTTTCAGCGCTTTTTTACACCTGAGCGGGAGATCAAGTGTCATTACAACGAAACAACAAATCGCATTTGTCCGACATTTTTTTTAGAACTCTCTGAATGCTTGTCAACTAACTATAAAATTCAGATCTCAGACTCTTCTCCTCTTTAAAAAAAATCCTCAAAATAGGGGTTTTCGCCGTTTCGCAGTCCACATGCATCTGGGCTCAGTCCTAAAAAAACAACGTTTCCCTTGAAGATGCAAAAATGTTAGCGCCTAGCAAAAAGATAGATCATGAAAAGAAGTATTACGTCAGTTTCGTTTTCATCAAAGCCTACGATTCAAAGCACATCTGCTCGCACTGATGAGGAGACAAGATTAATGCGTCATTTCCGAAGAAGAAGAACATCGAATATAATTTTTTTCGATACAAGATAGGTTTGCCCATGAGAGACACCAGGAAAGCCTTCCGAAATAATCGAAGCAACCCGCACGACTCTTAAGTCAGCGAAAACGTATTAAAAGAAGCGCATACCTAATATTTTTTTTCAGATTCAATAATCTCCTTCAGAAATTAATGATACCACCGGCGCGTCTCATATGCTGTCGGTACAGCAGCTTCTCCAATGGGTAGGCGCGCTTTGCTCCTTAGGTGCACAACTGTATTTTCGGAAAAGGACGTTTTATTTGCTAAGCAGAATATTCAAAATTTTTCTTTTTTCTTTTTTCCTCCTCTCCCGCGTTGATAGAGACCAATTTTTTGAAAAGCATGACGCGCCCGGCCCGGCACAATGCGTAAAAACGATTGTGAGTCGAACGTTACATGCATTATCAATGCTATGAGTGCTGGCAGAAATGGATGATTGAATTTTCCAGATTTTATCGTGGATTTGAAACTTAAAAATAGTGCTTGAAGTGCAGATGCCAATTGCAATGCGCAANCAAAATTTCACCAATAAATAAATCATTTATTTACATGCACCACGCGGCAACACTGCTGCGCCATCTTGAAAAATACACCATTGCATAACCCGAAAAATGAAGGGGCATTATTACACAATTGCATAACCCGCATATTGAAGGGGCAACATGCAATACTTTCTTTTTACAGCGTTGCCACATTGAACAATAATCCCTATACAACGCTGTAATTTAATTCATATTTTTCTGCACAATTTGGCTAAAAACTTTTGTGCTCAAGTCGGCATTTTCACCCTACTCAAGGTTCAGAATGAACCCCAGTGAGAGCATTGTGCCGGGCACGTCATGCTTCAAAAAAATTGGCCTCTGTCAACGCGGGAGAGGAGGGGAAAAAAAAGAAGTTTATTACTATTAAAATGAAATAATGAAATTGGTTGAACTTGGTGTACTTATACGTATTTTTAAGGTGTTGCACATCTTAGCTATTCATGTTATCGTGAAATTACCCTTCCTGTCCAACACTGTGAGTACGAGTTGTGCGTTGCTATTCAATGTTTAATCTTCACTCATTCAAAAGTTTCAGCCACCGTTCAACAACTTTTGAGTCATTCTGCATGGTCAAAGAATACTGTCTCTTGGTATACACAATTAGGGTAGGTGTGGTTTTGAATGTAAGAAATTTTATACAATCCATACTCACTTGAAAAATTCATAGTTTTTGAAGAAATCCTTGTACAAAACTTGACGAATATCAAACAAAACTATCCGTTTTTTTATTGTGTTTGCTTCCCTCTGAACTAGGGGTGATATAGCAATTTTGATTGAGTTGGCTAGTTTCTTTGTGTTGCTCCACTGATCAGGTAAATCCTGTGGATAACAAGGGATGTGTTTCTTATATGTATTAATTTTAAGAAATTAATATTTGGCTAAGCACACTTGTAAACTTGAGCCATTTGCCCAAAATGATGGTGTCTGAGCCGATGAAGGGCTGGATTGCGCCATTCCCATTAGAGGGATAGCTTATCTATAACCTTTTTATAAGTATCGACGGCCAAAGTGCCAGACCACGTATCTCGATTGCAATGTTCAAAAATCTCTGCTCTCATTTAATGTTTTTAAAGGAAAACAAACCAATATCATTGCGTGAAGTTTTCGCAGATTTTTCTTCACTCAAAGAAGAAAAATACCGAAAGTGTTCAAGAATCAACGTTTGGTAGTTTTCTATTTAAAAAATAAAGTATGATAGGAAGTCTGCGACGTCGCAAACGTAAATACTTGGTCTTGTAGTTTGACCGTCGATATGTAACCTGCAAAACCTGATTTTCAGGTTTTCTCCTGTGAAAAAAATATCAGTTTACCTAATTCTGCCAAAGTTTACGAGATTTTCAGTTTCCTTAAAGGAGGTTTTTGCCTCAATCGTAAGTTCCCGAATTTTCCGTTGTCAGACATTCAAAACCCGTGTGGGGCTAGTTAAGTTATTAAGACTGGGACTTTGACAATGATAAATGGAGATTAAGTAGCTTCTAAAAATTCAAAAACTGGGTGATGAAAAAAGTAAAAAACAGCGATCATAGCGACAAATTGTAATCAAAGTGCAAAAATCGAACATAACTGTTGATAGCAAGTTTGTATTCCACAGGTGAATGAAAATGCTATTTGGTGTAAGTTTTTTTTTTAGCGATCAATAGACTATATATAGTTTATTTACCACTATCTGTCTTGAAATTCTGCCACGCGAGAAGTTCAAAAAGGCTAGTTCCCATAATTGTTCCACAAATTTTCTCTTATCGAGCGACCTCCCGTGCCTATATCTACCAAAATACTGTGGAGGAGATAGACATTAGATATTCCTAAACTACCATTTCAGATTACGCCTGATCGCTGCAATTTACTTTTGGATGTAAACCAGGTCATGATTTTACTGATAGCTGGTCTGTATGGGAAATTGTAGAATATTGATTTCCGCTCAATCTTGGTTAAAACGATTGTCGTGCCAATATTAATATAAAATTAAGACATACGATCATAGTGAGTAACATAAATGATCTAAAAAAATTTAATTACTGAACAAAAGCAAAAAAAAAAAAACACAAATTCTACCATGCTGCAAATTTATTTTTTTTTTTATAACGCCTGACCCTTTACCTAATGGAATTATCAGTGCGACACCGATGCCTGAATTTTGCGCGTGACGCGCAAAATACAGCAACGATTCTCAGCAACCATCAGACCAATTTTGAATTTGTCTGTACTATAGACCGTGGGCCAGCAAGGGGTAACCCTCCCCCCCCCCCCCCCCCCCCCCCCCCCCCCCCCCCCCCCCCCCCCCCCCCCCCCCCCCCCCCCCCCCCCCCCCCCC